TTAATTGATTTCATCTAGGAGAAACTAGATCACACCTTCAACATTCAGGCTTGAATGCAACATGTGTCAGTTCCAATTCAATGTCTCTTTTCTGGATCATACACTTTAAACCATTGGAAAATGGTTCATAATCGCTTTCCTGCCCCTGAAGTTTGAGCAACCAAATAATATCGCAGTTTTCGCAAAAGAAGCGTGAATCTGCATTCACCAATGCACCGAATACCTTTTGTTCAGCTGGTATTAGTTGACAGTATCCGCTGATATTTTCCAACTTCAACGTTTGAGTTTCTTGACGTATATACCGCCATTCACCAGATCGGTTTTGGAAAACACTACGAAATGGGCTATACAAAATCCCTTAGCAGTTTACAGTAAATGACCAAGTGAATTCATGTAATTATTTCTCAGTTGTGAGGTGTACAGCCTTACGGTTCGATACCTTAACATAAAAGTAAGCTGTGAAACTCGGAACGATTTAGGGAGTTAAGGACCTGACTGGGGTAATAATAACATAACCGCTTAAATAGAGAGGAAACATGATTCTAATTGGACATAATTTGGTCACTAATTCTGAGAAATATAAGTTTTGGGATGATTATAACACTGCAGCAATAAACTTTCCTGTGGTCATAAGAACTACTGTAGTGGGGGCTGCTGACAAGAGTGGATATAAGTAGTATACGTTGAGACAGCGGTAGAAATAGTGGGGAATTACCAGCAATGTGTAAGGATTCTGCCCAGAGAAACGCAAAAGACAACGCGTGGGTACTAAGAGCAAATCACAAGAGAAGCACACTATGCTGCGAATGACTGTCTTAGTGCAAGATGTACCATATTTAACGACTACTGCACCACATGTTAATAATAAACATTCCTTCCTTCGTCTCTGTCTTCTCGTTTCCTTCACTAATACTTCACTCAAACTAGAATCAGAAGAAATCTTGTGATCAGTGGTCTGATACAGTTAGTGTATTCCTAAATTTAACATCCACTTGTTAAGCAATTTAGTGTTATTGCTTGTATTATACCCGTCGCACAAAAAGTGGCTATCGTGGCTTGGTGGTGTAGTGGATAACGCTATGGCGTTTGAAGCGATCGCTAACGAGTCCGAGTTCCTATGGGAAAAACATCACTCACTGGGAGGCAGGTACATCCAGCTGACGAGTCCCAAATGGGACGAAATGCACATCGTGGATTCCACTGCTAGCCACTGCTCATCATTACTATACATTGTTAAGCAATATCTGTTAACCTGTGCATATAACCAGATGAATCCCAGTATTGTGAGGATGATCTATGCTGAACAGATCAGAGGAAAGAGAATTCAGTCATGAAAGCTGATGGTGTTTGATAGTCAACTAAAAGTAAAAGAATTATCTGTACAACCTAATAGTTGTCAATTGCATCCAATGATGCCATTTATATATATGTTAGTTACTTCTAATTGATATGAGTAGTTCAAAACTATCTATTTTGGTTGGTTAATTTGTACAGTCAGAAGGTTATATAAACGCTGCATAGCAAGATGGTTAGTCTGAGATCGAGTATACAGGTTATTCACCTAGGGTAACGCAGGCCATGGAGTTGAATTATTCAGCCAACACGATTTCCACATTTAAACTAATTCAATTAGATTATCAAATATCATTTTTTGCACATATCTTTATTGGTTGGTGGTGTCTTTGTAAATGTAAGAAACGTCATCGACAGGCTAAATATTGTAGTACCTGCGGATTGATGATACATTCATTCAAACCGTCGATTAGAATATGAAGAACAACGAATTATCGAGGAACTTTAATAGAGCACATGCTTCACTTGCGAGGAGGAACATAACAGTAAGCTGAACTTCTTTGATGTTTCACTAATTACATGAGTTGATACACTGCAGATAGCACATTTGAGTCACCAGGTCATATGGTGCAAACGAAATCTAGTGAAGTGTTTGGCAATCAGAGCAAGAAAAATCTGCGCAGATGATAATTTACTGAAAGACTAAGAAGACTTTTTGAATTCGTTGATTTCAATTAGACTTTCTTGATTGTATTGTGTCCTCTGAGCTGGGTTGTTTAATCGTGAAGCTTTCATCATCTTTCCAGACGACATCATCAGCACTAACTTCTGTATGATATGAGCTGTCAATATCTCTCCATGAGTGATTTAGTGGCTTGCCTTGACGAAGTGGTCTGTAATTGGTTGTTTCCTTTGATTGTTGTATTATTGACTGTATAGATTTTCTTGTAAGCTGTCCCTCTACTTGACCTCTGACCTTTCTGTCATTTATCATCTTTCTTATTGGTTGATAGATTAAGCTTTCTTTATAATTCGATGAAAAAGCATGTAAACAAAGTGGGTAGAAAAAAAACTTGAGGTTCGGACTGCTCGGAAGAAACTATTATTCATGAAGCTATACTTTAATGGGGTCATGCGCAATGAAACCTTGCTCCTAGACTATCGAAGACCACTAAAAGAACGTTTTAGACAACTAACTTCCGTGTGTCACTTTCTAGTCGACGAATTGTTTCGGTTCCAAAGAAGTTTGGGTTGCCGAGTTTCTGTACTTCTATGTGTAAATAATAGTTTAATCGGGTGTACAACCAGCCAAATCAACCACAGTATTATCCAATATTCTCTTTCTTAACTGTAGAAAGACAAGTTAAGTTTATGAGTAACTCTATTTTGTCGTATCTAGTTGATAATGATTCATGAGTAAACAAAATGAAACTGTTCAAAGTAATGGAGGCGATAGGAATTTGAATTAATAATTTGAAGCTTTGTATTTAGAAAAAAACATGTGCAGCCTTTATCTTTGTCTTGAAAATGAAAGATTTATTGAAAGATGTTGCCTAAAGATTTTTACCTTCTTTACTGCTTTTTATGTCTCACACATTTGTTATCCATACCATCTTCATATTCAAACCTTACCTATGTACTGACATCCTGCTTTGATATTACGCAGCTTGACTGACTCTGAATGCTTGAACATCTGTTCACTTTATCATATAGTTCTCAATAGTCGCGTCATCACTGATGTCATCATTATTTTTAGTATCCCAAATTACACCAGCTACTTCGTTGTTGTTGTTGATTAAAAAATTTCCCTTATTGGATTTTACGTTACACATACCTAAAAAGTGAGATCTAACTGAAAATAATATTTCAAGTCGGTCTCCATCAGAGACTCAAGTCAGTTAGAAAATTGTTGAAAAACTGTTCGCACTGGACAGTTGTCTCGTCCTAATATTTGATTTTTAAGCAGTCCACACCAGTAACCCCACCAGATATCGGACCCAGGACCTTCAGGTATCACAGTGAACGCGATTATTATTAACCAACTGCTTCAGTAGTCAACAATTTCCAGCTTAATGGTTCTTCATATGACATGACTTCATAGTGAATTGTTTATTATTTGTCCCTCGAGTTCCTAGTGGAATATACGGCTTCAGTAGCACATAGCCATTTCACTCTCTTATCTACACTCTTTGCAAACTAGCTTCAACCACTACCCACAAGCCTTCATTTCCTCCTCACACCACCTCATCCATGTCACACTTCACTCGGATGCCCAACTCGTCGTTCCCCATCTGGATTCCACTCAACGGCTCGGCTCGGCTCGGCGAGTGATGTGTCCAGTCGACCTTCTCAGTGTATGCCCAATACAATCCATCTCCATCTTCTTCTGCATACTTATTGGGTGGTAGGTTCTTGGTTGGTTCGTTGGTTCGTTTGTTCCCAGAGTTCCTTGATACTTATTCCTATTATTCTGGCCATCTCATCTTTCAGTATCGAGGCAGCGTAGGCAGCTGTTGATGAATGTCTCTAGTTTGTTGCAAATGCTTTCCGTGACACGTCAAGTTTCTGAACCATATGGAAGCACTGACTGACTTGACTGAATTGGTGTTGAAAATCCAGATCTTGTTCACGTTTTATGCTGAGTGCAGTGCAGTAGATCTCCACACTGATTATTTCAGATTAATTCAGGAAGGCCTGTCTTACTGTCTTTCCAATGCTGGCTGGCTTTGACGTCTTCATGTGTGCCTGTGCCACCTGTAGTTGAAACGATGCCGCCTAGGTAGTTAAGTAGGTGAAAGAAACTATTTCGTTTAAATTTCTCCCGTTGATGGTGATTGGTGCGTGGTGTTGTTGTTGGTGGTTGGTTGGGTATCTGTTTATGGTGAATACCAACTTGAAATCAGTAAATCTCTACAAATCTCACGTCTTGAAACGAAGGAGTGATGGAAGCTTGGCATTATCAATCATTGCATCGGATTAGATATTTAGCAAACCAGCATTTTATTTCTTAACACAAAATTATGCACCACATAATCGGTGCCACGTAGTTCTTTATATTATCCCGTCGTTGATTAGACCGATGTGATCAATGTCTTTTCACACATAGACTTCTTTGCTAGTGCTTCAATATTCCCTGTCGTTTAATTTTTATAATGATGACGGATAGTGGCTAGCTGATGAGTTCTAAATAGGACCAAAAGCGCGTCTTGGATTCCACTATTAGCCAATATCCATCATTAATATCACTTATCTTTGCTGTGAACTGATAGCTACAAATCTTTCAAAATTACTTCCAGCAGTAAAACAGCAATTTCACTGGAAATGTTACATTCTATTCTTGTAATAAAAAACCCTTACATGCTTAACAAGTGAATAAAAGTGAGTTTCATTGCTTAGCTCCCCAACAGCATAATCATTCATGAAGAAGCTTGAAACCTAAGTGTACTGGATCTGTTAAACGTAACCGTCGTTTGCAATGACTTACACATAAAACTACGCTGTCGATAGACTTAACGTACCTCACTGAATGGAATGTTCGACTATCAGAGTACACTACATCAAGACAAAAATATGGCTTATTCTCTGCAGCTTCAATCTCCTACCGGTTTTGTTTTTTGTCACACAATATTAGGGTTATGAGAGGCTAAGAGTTCGAAAAAGTCAGCTTATATACAACGCCTCACTTTTTATCTCTTCTCTCTTTTTAGAAAAGCCTCAAATATCTCAAATAAGCGCAAACCAAACTGTTCGTGTTGGTAATCAAGTTATACTTAACTGTCATGCCTCAGGCGATCCACATCCACAAATTAGCTGGATAGTGAAAAAACCTGGGTATAAAGTTCCTAATGTTTATACACCAATGGTTGATGTTTCAAGTGAAACAGAGAATAATGATCAGTCTGCAGACTTGTCTGATTCAAGTCGGTCATCTGATCATTTACACGATCAACAGTTTCTGCAACCATCTGGTTCAAGTTCATCTTCATCAGCTTCAATTGACCATAGTATTAATACTGCATCAAATCCAGATGCTGTTGTAGCCGCTATTTCAAGAAATATGAAAGCAAACAGTGGACGTATAACAGCATTTCCAAACGGTAGCCTAATTATCAAGCATTCGCACTTATCAGATCAAGCTGAGTACATATGTGTGGCTGGCAATAAACATGCTATTAAAACTCGTCAAGGAGTTTTTGTTAGAGTTCTAAGTGAGTATTTACTATTTTGTACTTATTCATAAGGTTTTTTCAATATTTTCAGTGTTATGTATCATTCCTATTACCAATAATTTTGCAATCAGAAGCACTTACTAAGGAGTCTGATCTATATATTTGTATTGACTAGTCGATAGAGGCACACTAGATCAACAATGACTAAACAACAACTGAACGGAAGTGTAAGTCTGTATCCATAGCGAACACACAATTAGTTGACAGTTGCAAACATTAATAGATTAGCCCTTTTGTATGTTACATTTACCAAACAAGGAGATAAATAATAAGATATTATATCTTCAAATTTTCTACCAAATTGCTTCATTCATTTTGCACTTCTAACACATAGTCTTCATTACCTTATAACTGAGCCGAACTGGTAATAGATAGTCCTGAACGTAATGATCAGAATACATCCAGAGCTTTAATTGCTGGTGATCTCAATTCCAGTAGAGAATATCTAAAGGTAACTAATAATATTTCCAGAATTTGTCATATGAAGATTTTAAGTAAGAGGAGATGAACTGTTAAATCATTTTTGTAGCATATCGAACACTATACGGATACATTTTCATTAAAATACTTATATAGTTTGTTTAAAATCAAGTTGAAATGTGCTCAAATATATTTAAATCTATGCCTTAAATGTTTTGGGCGATAGAAACTAAACTAGTCCACTCAGAAGAATTTTGTAAGTGATCCATGGTTTACTAATATATACAAAATAAAAGATACAGTTCAGTCAAGTGTCAATATGGCTAAACGAGCTGATATGTTACTTCCCAGTAGTAACGTCTACGATCTTTTGATAAATTCCCTGTAGTTCACACCATAATGGCATATGATTACACTTTTCTTACTAAAAAAAATGAAGGCAGTATCATCTGCTCAATAAAGTGACCACATGCTCAACAGGAAAGTTTTCTTATACCGTTTGGAGATACGGACTACAGTCATGGATCCCTGATTCTAATTACGTGAAATTAGGTGATAAATAATAATCCTTAATTCGCGTAATAGGAAATACTTAACACGCTAAAACTTCACATCCTATTCGAAGCATATGATAAAAGCGAGTTTTTAGTCTACTCACCTTGGTAACCAGTTAACTAGTTACTAGCCGGTCCTAAGCCCAGATAAAGATTCAACTGCTGAAGAAACTTCAAAGCACAAAGAAATTATAAAAAAAAGAACGAACTTATTCCTTGCTAGAATCGGAAAGACGAAATGACGCTGATTGGTGAAAGCCTTCGGAAAGCCAATTGGTCGGTGTATCTTCTCTCGATGAAAGCGAAGTAAGAATGGGGACATGCACTGAGTTTTCGGGCGGCTATCACGATGTCCCCAAGAGTATCGAAGGCCCTCATGCAGTGGGAACAAATCTTTTCCAGAATCATGACAACAGGGTTCAACTCAAAAGGAAGTAAAGTCATAATCGTACAATGCTACTCACCTACAAATAATACAGATGAAGAGTAGAAGGAGGAATTATATGGACAACTGCAATCAACATTGAACAAAACCTCAGTTGGCGACATAAATATTCTAATGGGCGACATGAATGCCAAACTGGGAGCGGACAACACAGGAAGAGAACTAAACATGGGTCGAGAAGCGCTCGGTGAAATGAAAGAGAATGGAGAACTGTTCCCAGACTTCTGCGTATGCAACGATTTGGTAATTGGAGGTAGTGTGTACAAACACAAGGATATCCACAAAGCGACGTGGATTTCAGCAGATGGACACACTAAAAATCAGATCGACTTCATCTCAATGGGAAGAAAGTGGAGATGTAGCCAGCCTATTGGACACAAGATAAAGAAGAGGAGCAGATGTAGGACGAAACCACAAGGGAAATCTTCACGTCAGCCATCAAGACAAAATGGGAGGTATCGAGCAATATCCCTGAAGAAACCTGTGTGGAAGAACACTAGAAGTCTTTGAAAGGGATGTGGAAGGAAACCTGCGTAACCATATTATGAAGGAAGAAGAAAGAAGACAAGGAATGGATCTCGACGGACATATGGAAGCTGGTAGAGCAAGATGAGGAAGATGGTGAAGCAGAAGATAAACTAGTGCAAGGATAGATAACGAGAAGAAGAACTGAGTACAATGTATAAAACACTGGACAAAGAAGTGAAGAAGAGTGCGCGCAAAGACAAAAGACACTTGTACGACGCAGTGGCAAGTGAAGCAGAATAGGCTGCTCATAGGAGAGACAGAGACCTGACAACACTATATCAAATAACCAGGAAAGGAAGAGGGAAGAGATCAACTCAGATGAAACCAATTAAAGATAATGAAGGGAGCTTAGTTACCAAAGAGGAGAAACAAAGGAAAGAATGGGCTGACCACATCAAGACACTCTTGAATTGACAACTACCTGCAACTCGTCCAGAAATACCACCAGCAGCCACAGAATTACCAGTGAACACAAGCCCTCCGACAAAAGCAGAAGTCCTGAACATCATAAAGCTAGTGAAATGCGGGAAAGCAGAAGGACCAAATTAAATCCCATCAGAAGCACTGTAAACAGACGCAGAGATAACAGCGGAAATATTCACACCACTGCTGCAGAAAATTTGGAAGAAAGGAAAGGTACCTTGTCAAACTTTCAAAGAAGGGAGACCTAAGTCTTATCAAGAGCTGGCGCGGAATTATGCTCACCCACTGTCCAGCCCGACCAATATATTAAGCTGCATTATCCTGGAGAGACTAAAAGATGAGGTGGATTCAAAATTACGATTGGTACAGGCTGGTTGGATTCAGGAAGCACAAATTATGTGCAGATCTAATTGCAACACTACGCATCACCATAAAGCAGAGAGTAGAATGGCAGTCAACTCTCTATTTCAACTTCATCGATTTTCAAAAGGCCTTCAACAGCGTCGACAGCGTTCGCCTACCTACGAACCTAGGCAGCATCGTTTCAACTACAGGTGGCACAGGCACACATGAAGACGTCAAAGCCAGCCAGCATTGGAAAGACAGTAAGACAGGCCTTCCTGAATTAATCTGAAATAATCAGTGTGGAGATCTACTGCACTGCACTCAGCATAAAACGTGAACAAGATCTGGATTTTCAACACCAATTCAGTCAAGTCAGTCAGTGCTTCCATATGGTTCAGAAACTTGACGTGTCACGGAAAGCATTTGCAACAAACTAGAGACATTCATCAACAGCTGCCTACGCTGCCTCGATACTGAAAGATGAGATGGCCAGAATAATAGGAATAAGTATCAAGGAACTCTGGGAACAAACGAACCAACGAACCAACCAAGAACCTACCACCCAATAAGTATGCAGAAGAAGATGGAGATGGATTGTATTGGGCATACACTGAGAAGGTCGACTGGACACATCACTCGCCGAGCCGAGCCGAGCCGTTGAGTGGAATCCAGATGGGGAACGACGAGTTGGGCATCCGAGTGAAGTGTGACATGGATGAGGTGGTGTGAGGAGGAAATGAAGGCTTGTGGGTAGTGGTTGAAGCTAGTTTGCAAAGAGTGTAGATAAGAGAGTGAAATGGCTATGTGCTACTGAAGCCGTATATTCCACTAGGAACTCGAGGGACAAATAATAAATAATAATGTAACTAGGAGGGGAATCCAGGATTCACGTTTCATCTGATTTGTATTTGTCAGCTGGATGTACTTACACCGCAATGGGTGATGATATCCTCACCGAGACTAGGCCGCAATACCCAGAATTTGAAACCCTAAAGCGTTATCCACTAGGTCACTGAGATACGATAGCCACAGCTTCATGGGCGACGGCTATCACTTATTATTTACTGATACTTGTTACCCCCCCCCTCCCCTTTTTATACTGCATAGAATCGCTGAACCACTGTTAATGGCTCCTGGATTCCACCATTAGCCACCAAGCAGACAACAAAATCATAAATATCATGACAGTTTCGAGGCATCCACATAGGAACTCATCTGCCAACAGAGGTCGAACAATTCAACTCGGAATAGCATTGGAAAATTACAAGTATGCAATCAACAATTAAAGCAAATGGTTGTAAAAGAAGAATATATTATTCGAAATACAATGACTACTAACTTTAGCATAGCATATTTGTATACAAAATTAAGCTAAGCTAAACTGATGTACTATTCTAACAAATGGCTCTGTAAATGTTCATTCAGTGTAAGAAAATATGCATATTCATGCATAAATTACACATATATTTACAATATAAAAGGATTATTATTATTATTATTATTATTATTACTATTATTGTTGCTATTATACAAGGGTACAATCAACCCAGTCCACAGATACACTTTTCTATGATTAATTTACGTTTTTAATGTTTACTCATGGATATTTTCATTTTTATAATTGTGTACATATGTTTGCCTATTTGGTATATTTAATCAGCTCCAGAAGAATATACTAGACAACAACTTGGTGAAGATGGTTCCAGTTCTGGTATGATGAAAACAATATGCATAGTTGTTGGTTGTGCAGTTACATATTTAGGTTTGATTATTGGCTTAACAGCATTCTGTAGTATACGTATGGTACGTACTCGACGTAATCGATCACGTAAAACTGGTAAGTCACTAATTGAATTGCCTTTCATTCATCATATTTTATTTTCTCAATGTTGTTTTTTTTCTCTTTTTTTTTGGTGTTTACGTGTTTAAGTGTGTTTGTGTATGTATTCAAGTGTGTGAATTGTTTCCCCCCCCCCTTTTTTTTTGTTTTACCGCATTCACCCGATCTTATCAGAATTTTTCAATATGATTTTTAGTTCGTCTTTTTCCACTTCTGACAGATTGCATTTTTTTTTATAATTCAGTAAATTACTATAGACAGAGTGAATTTCCTGTATTCATTCTTTATTTGTTTTACCGTGACTATTGCCAGTTTGTTTTTCTTTTCATGAAGTAAAAAGAAATATTCGTATTCGTACTTTCATATATTTTTTTTTTATACTTCATTCAGCTTTTTGATTTTTCTCTTTTCTTCGGAGAAAAAAGGTGTCCGTTTTGACCTGACTAGGCTTCTTTTTTCTTTCTTTCTTGCTATTATGATTAATGAGATTTTTGGATTTTTCTTAACAGACACGAAAAGTTATTATTAGCTTGAAAGGAATACATTAGCTATTCCAGGGACATACTGTTTATACAAAGACATGTAAAACTCGCCATTTTTAATCTTTGTTTGTTTATTACTTTTGGACCATCATAATCGTAATAGTACCAATAATAATAATAATAATAGTAATAGTAATAATAATACTAAAGGTATTTCACTTTCATGCACGCATATATGTATACTACGATACAAGTAAGCACATAAATCTATGTATGGGTGCATACGTCCATATGATTTATGTATCTTTTTAATCTAACCAAAGTGTTGTGCAGTAAGGCTGATTGTTTGAATAAAATCTGTAAATCATATAATTAATCGTTGAATGAAATGAAAATTACATCTAGAATATTCACCTGTCTTAAAAAGTAATAAAATTTAAGATTTATTATATGAGGTATGAGTGTACAGTGTGAATCTGTGTTTTCTTCCCTTACTCCCTTCTTTCTTTCACCTTTTGTAGGAATTAACGTAATGGTATAGGTAATAGTCATAATGGTATTATAACACTGAATATATATATATATATATATATATATATATATATATATATCTGACGACGATTGAAACCTTTATTCATTAATTCCACTCTTTACTCAAGAGTACACTGTCTGAGTTTTATCGGTTGAAATCAGCATTGTAGACTAGAAAATTTCTGTGTCACTCACTTACCCGCCAAAATTTATAAATCAATTCATAAGAAATCGAAAGAAAAATATTAGCAGTGGTAGTAGTAGTAGTAGTAGTAGTAGTAGTAATACAGATGTTATTAATAATAATAATCCCACTACTAGTGATAATAATGGTGACAGCGTTAAGAGAGAATTCACATCCTCTGCTGTGTTACCATACAAGGAAGGCACTTCAGAAGCATTACGAAAAATTCTCAATAAGGCTGGCTGGGATTAAAGTGGCAGTCAAACCAACAAACTCACTAAGAAACAAGCTTTGAAGGTTAAAAGATACTATCGATGTAATTCAGCAAAATAATCTGGTTTACCAGATCCCTTGCAATAATTGCGAGGTCAAGTACATAGGTCAAAGCAGTTGGCTAGTCAGGGTCGATTAGAATAACAGAGCACAAAAACTTAGCTAAATCAAAATTAGTAGATCCTAATAAGATAAGAAGTCTGGAGAGGAGCTCGGCTATAGCTCTGCATGCAATGACACACAATCACATAGTAGGGTGGGATAGGGTGACAGTGTTGAAAACTAACTTAGTTGGGTGGATGAAGGGAGAGATTGATAACCGACTGAATCTTTGTTTATCGAATCAACACCAAACATATGCAGTAACAGGAATGATTCTGCACCTGTCCTAGATATATGGAAAATTCTACTACCCTTGTCATCACAGAGAATGAGAGAAGATTAGGAATATATAAAGACTGTCTTGAAGTTGTGTGGAGTTACCTGCTGATATGAATATGGACAATAAATTGTGTCCGAAACGTTATCCAGTAAATGGTATACTATTTCACTGTGTGGTATTTCTAATAAACAGACTAAAATGGAATTACACTCGACCACAGTGCCCAAGTTTTACACTTATATTAATGTCATTTACTCTTCGTAATTCTGACTATTCGATGTTTTTGTGAAAATCAACTACATAAAGAAAGATACGTTTAGAAGGATAAATGAAAACTGATTGTCTAGGTTTGAAAAAAAAGCAACAAACAGGCAGACAATTCAAAGAAAAGATAAAATTTTCAATAAATAGTTTACGTTGTTGATGACTTTTATTTTATGCTTCTAGAATTTCATCTTGTGTTGTTTATACCTAATTTTTAAGTATAGTTATTATTCATCTTAGTCAGGCGGTGGAAAGGGAAAAAAAATCAGATTCTTATAGATTCATGATTATAATATAGAAATTTAGCCTAACTTCCAAGTTCTAGTCACTACAAATATGCATATCTGAAGTGGAAAAGTGTTAACCTGCTTCACATGATGCGAGTAACATGTCTTCCATATAAGAGTTAATACTTTTCATGTCAAATAAGTTTCTATATATAAACCACCTTCACAGGATACATTAAAGATGACCTGTATCTGTTAGCCTTTTATGCATGCGATGCAAAACATTTAGAAATGTGCTTTTCTCAGCATTACACAGAGAGGCCAACTGCTGTTTGACTCATGAGAGATTACTATGAGTTCAAGACAGTTCCTGAAATAAAAACAACCACGTTAATTTAATAAAAGAATGAGAAGCGTAATAGTAGGAATTTTTTTTGAAATACTAGTACTTTTAAAGTATACTATTTGGTTCCATTATTGTTTTATGCTCAGATATTGTAGATCACGGAATTAAGTTCAATCCACTCTGTTTTTCTCTCACTCATTAGGTGGCAAGCTGCACGAAAATGGTCAATTACTTAATACTCTGAATGATTCTAGTAATCCAAATGGAGGAAAGAGAGGATCACAAGGAAGTGGCACTGGAGCAGGAACAGGAGCAGGAAATTTTGAAAGTGGCTTGCTATTAGGAGGTGCTTCTGGGATAAATACAACCGCTAATGCATCTCTAAGTCATCTACCTCATTGCGGTCGTCCAGTTCTAACGAGTGCGTCAGGAACACGCAGTGGGACTAGTTATCCTGACTCAAATACTTTACCACATCCTTTAATGTGTACAGAGGCCAGTCCAAATCAACGGGCAAACATTCCAGTGAACGATACTAAATGCTGGTGGCCTGTATCTGATAACGTCTTTTATGGACAAAACGATGCTCAGGCTAAACTGTTACAGTCTACTGGTGCTGGACCAATAGATGGATTCGTTAATCCGATGACAGACGTTACAGATCTCAATGGTCAATCATACGTTCAAGGGCATTCTATGATGAATCCTTCATGTAACCTAATGTTTTCTGGTCACAAGGGTACAAGCACAGGTGTTGGAAGTAGTACAATCGCCACGACTACATCAGAATCGCATCTTGTTTCTGCACCCCCACCAACGCCTCTTGATTCAAGATCACATTTCAGTGGGGTTTCTTCTGGTAATTCAACAAGTTTGTATTCCCGATCACTTTTAAGTGGTGCTTCAAACTTTGGTTCACCTCCTAATCAATCAGCCTCACATATGAATGGTATTAACCAGTATGATCAATCAAATGGATTACATACTATCAGTCAAACAGATCGTATGAATTATCCACGTTGTGAATTGCAAATGGAAGGAATTTTGGGTAAGTATGATCGTGATATACTTTATTTATTGAATGATTACATATTTACTGTAAGCTTCAACTGAGAACCGGGTCCACATTCCCTTTTGCTACCTTATTTTCTGAAGGATAAAAATTTAAATCCCGTCGATATTTTGTAAATAATTAATTATACACAGACACGTTTTTAAACTCGAAGATCTACAGGCAAAAACTAACAAGTTGATAGAAGAGGCAGCGAAGTCGGGACCTCAAATGAATTTAGAGAGGACAGAGGTGATTAAGATACCCAACCAACACCACCACCAACAAGCTCCAATCACTGTCAACAGGAGAAACTTAAAGGAAGTAGTCTCTTCCACCTATCTAGGTAGCACCGTTTCAGCTACAGGCAGTGGCGGCACAGATGAGGACGTCAAAGCCAGCCAGGATCGGAAAAGCAAGAAAGGCGTTGATTAACCTGGAGATCTTCTGCACTGCACCCAGCATAAAGCGTGAACAACATTCCGATTTTCAACACCAATTTCAAGTCAGTGCTGCTGTATGGCTCAGAGACTGTGCGCGTTACGAAAGGTATTTCCAACAAACTACAGATATTCATGAACAACTGTCTGTGCTGGCTCGTTACTGAAGCTCAGATGGCCAGAATAGTAAGAATAAGCAACAAGGAACTCTGGGAACGAACGAACCAGCCAACCAAGAAGCTATCGCGGGACAAATATGCAGTGGAAGGAAGTGTAGATGGATTGGGCATGCACTCAGGAGACCATTCGGGGACGTCATGCGCCAGACCAGTTGCTCGAGTGGAACCCATATGGGAAACGGCGAGTTGGGCGTCCTAATGTAGGGTGACATGGAGGAGATGGTGCGAGGAGGAAATGAGAGCTTGTGGGCAGTGGTGGAGCCAGGTTCAAAGAATTGCAGAGAAGGGAGAGGAATGTGGACGTGCTATTGAAGCCGTATGTTCCATTAGGAACTTAAGGGACAAATAATAATAATAGACACGTTTTTAAGCTCAAAGAGTATAAGGGATCGTTTAGCACTTTACAGCTACCCTAATTAGGGTCACCTGCATATAATCAATGTATCCAGTCATTCCTTATAAAAAAATATGTTTGAGATATTTGAAATATTGATAATAGGCGGTAACTGAAGATGAAACAAAAATCTATTTGGTGGCAAGATTCGAACCAACAGCCTCTAAGTGACTGGTCAAGTGTTCTACCAACTAATCTGCATACTCACCTAGATTTTAATTTCACTTCAATCCCCAAAGGTTTTGTTCAACCATCATTATGAATTCGGTATGTATAAGTATCCGTTCATCATATTCACATTTCTTTCCATCCGAATCCAAGTCGAACAGAATTACAGAGTAGTAGCATTATATTGTTGTTTTTCAGTTTGACTCTCTGAGATAGTCGTGGTTTAACGGACTTGTATCATTAGGGTACTAGATCTTATGACTCATTCGGCACAACAGTGAACCGGCCACTGAATCAAATCTTGCTGTGGACCAGGTTTTTATTCCACCTTTAATCATCAACCAGTATCGATAAAATGAGTCTATCAAACCACAGCTACCTTAGATACTCTCATTGATGTTTTAAATAGAATGAATACTTGGTAAATTAATGATAAGTTTCAGGTATAAGTTTTCACTATTAGCACTACAGTAATTGGTGTTAAGGAATTGTCTGCTACAATTCACAGTCATGATGATGAACTAATTATCTGTTAGTTCGATTAATTGTATGACTGGTCCAAACAATATGAGTTAATTCAGTTTGGAGGGTTTATGGGAATAATTGTTCTTCCAAGTTTTCAATGGTTCTTCAACTAATTTCAAGTTGAATATATAACTTGATGTTACGTTAGACTAATAGCGGAAAACACTTCTATTTAGAACCAATAATAATAATAATAATACTTATGTTCGAGCTGAAAGTAATTTGTAGGACTTACACATTAGGGTTTCTAACATTTTTCTTTGCCTTAGGGAAACCACACCATCATAATTTTAAGCTAGATTTACTTTCCACCAGGTAACTGTTCTCTTCCTATACATTAGCAATATATACTCAAAAGTAACAGAAAGAATACCATCGTTATACTGTAACCCTCATCGGTCTTCTTGATAGTTTTACATAACCAATTGTCAATTGAATAAAAACTTCTTGTACTAACTAACTTTACTACTTTTAAGAGCTGTATAAGAACACCTTAAATACCTTTTTAACCCTTTTGATTTTTTGTTGTTTTGGGGCTGGATGGTCGAAAAGAAACGACGAATAAACCAACACCGCCGACCCGGCAGACCGAGGGGCATGGTGGAGTGTGTTATTCTTGGGGCCGACCTTTTCTAACCCCCCCCTTCCACTGAGAAGTCAGCATCAGCATGACACTGCTGGTTATCCAAGGGAAACAAACACCTTACTGCTTTCACACCCTATCCAGCTAGCAGCAGTATGACTTCTCCCTCAGACAGACCCCCATCATAGTGTAGCAAGTTACACTACAACGGTAACTGCTTTTCGTCTAACCACTATCCAAGAGACCTTTCTGATATTGTAGGACTTCGAGGGAACAATTGTTCCACCAGCATAGCTCATTGGGTCATTGTGATGTGCAAGTTCGACCACCACGTCAAGCTAGCAGCTACCTTTAGTTCATCTAGCAGTTGGACATACTCAAAGACTACCTTCAATCACTGATCTGAAAACTTTGTCATCCTCCATTAGTGAAAGTGAAATAGTTTTTATAGAATGTACTTTTCTCCATGGATTTAGGAGGGAGGAGGCTATAGTTAACATATTTCTACTTGTAATGATTGAAAATACTTGCAGACTTATGTCACTGTTAAATTGAGAATTAAGGTATAAACTTTACTATGCCCATGGTTCCATATTCTACTCAAGTAACCAGTTGTCATAATTATTAAAAATCAAATTACAACTAATTGTATCCATTTTGTGAATTGGAGTATCATGCCTAACAATATATAAGACATTCAGTCAAGGTTTGAAGTGGTGGCAACTGGATTCCAGTGTTGTTGAAATACACATGTTTTTGACTTACTGTTTATAAGGAAGTTACAGAATGATCTTGATTCAATTTATCACTCGTAACCGTAGGAATGTATGATGACGATAACGATCACATTTTTTTTGTTGTCATCGTCATCGTCATCATCATCTATCAAAATAGGACCAGGCATTACTGCATAACGGTCCGAGTTGCCACACCTCATATCACTTAGTACATCAAGTAAAAAGGCATTGAAGTGGAAGATGAAGATAAGAAAATTCAGTCGGAAAAAATATAAAGTATGAAAAGAGAGAAACCGAGAATGAGATAGTGATGAGATTCGGTATAGCGTCGTTAAGATGAGGATAATGTGTGTATACATCTGCGTCACTAACATTGGTTATGAGCCATATCGTCACCTATAGTCTGTAACCACTAGTTTCTCTTGTCCCGCGGACACCAACCAACTAGTCTGAATTGCCCCACATGGTCCCACAAACGAACAGTCAGAGACTTCAAACATTGGTGCCATGTTTTAGTTTGGTTGCCTGGAGACTTTTTTCAGCCTGAACCTACTTCGACCAAGATCAACATCCAATTCGATGAAGGTCCCCAACCATGTCAACTGACTTACCCCTTATCTCTAAAACTCTACGCCTGACTTTTGCGTTACTCATGTGTAGCAGGAACAGATAACAATATGGATTTATCTGATTAAAAATCGAAATCCAAGACTGTTCCACTTTTCTCGTATAAGCATCGAATTTCATTTCTTTGATAGTACTTAACAATTCTGTATGTAATGAGGTAGCCAAATTACTGGAGTTAAATGATGAATAATGTCTAAGAAGACAGTTTATGAGATGACAGTATCAAGTATCAAAATATACAGTAGTCTATCAGTTGAACAGAAATGTTGCCTGCAATCTTTTATACACGAAAAAGCAAATGCTCAGTATAACCACCATTGCAATCGATGATGGTTCTATGATACAAGTTTGACTCATTTTCTCTGTATAGCTTAACCTTGAAACCTCTGTTCATTGTACCTGTGTACTATAAATAAATATATCGCAAAATTCGTGGAACTGAGTGTTATTCGGATCATAGAACTCCTTACATGGAATTTCAAATAATATGTTGATTTACATATTGTTCAGGATAAATATGAACTATAAAATGGCAATAAACTTAGATCATACATCGTATATTTTACAATGTAATTTACTTTAGGTAAAGGTGAATTTGGTGATGTATTCCTGGCACGTGCTCGTCATATACAAGAAGGTGAAGTTCAATCATTAGTATTAGTGAAATCGCTTAGTTCACGTGATTCAGTGCATATCAATGAATTTCATCGTCAACTAGAATTGTTTGGTCAATCTGATCATGATTATGTTACACGTTTGTTAGGCGTATGCATGGAACAAGAACCTTTCTACATTTTGTTAGAATATTGTGAATGGGTATGTTTTTAAATTGTGTTTGAAGAGAATACTTATCAACCAAAATTGTAACATTTTGTGAGCTATGCTATTGTCTACCCATATGGAAATGAAACATTTAATCGAAAGGCGCGTGATATAAATGCTTAAAACTGACTAGAATAATCTTTTTTTTGCTTGGCTTATATCCTTCGAAATTATGTGAACCTTAACTTTTCTCATTCAAGAAAAATACTGGGAAACTATTAATAACTTCAAAAAACAGATGAAACTTCAGAAGAAGACAGTTCTGATATAATCTGAAATAACAAAGTACTAGCTGAATTTAACTGGACATTCAAAAATAAATGATCTCATTCATTGAGATCATCCACTTCAACTGATAAGTACGAAAATAACCCTGACATATTACTTTCAGATGGCCAGAAAGAATAAGCAACAAGGAGCTCTGGGAACGAACCAACCAAGAACCTATCGCTCAACAAATGTGCAGAAGGAAGTGGATTGGGCACACACTGAGAAGGCCGACTGGGGACATCACGCTCCAGGTGGAATCCCCATGGGAAGTGACGAGTTGGACGTCCAAGGTAAGGGTGACATGGAGGAGATCGTGCGAGGAGGAAATGAGAGCTTCTGGGCTGTCGTGGAGCCAGGTTCAAAAGATTTCAGCGAACAGAGATCACTGGAGACGTGCTACTGAAGCCCTATGTTCCGTTAGGAACCCAAGGGACTAATAATAATAATACTTTAAACGTTACTATATCAACTACTGAAATAACCAATTAGACGTCTTGATTTCTCCTGAGATGGTGGTTGTTGCATAAAATAAAGAATTTAAAGATATCCATCGTAAAGCAAGTCACTATGGTGCACTGAAATTAATCCACTTGGTGGCTTGTAGAGATTGATTACTTTCTATCAGAGGTTGATACCTGCCAACAATGGACAGATTTTTCGTCCCAGTTTAAGGTTAAAACTTGGTTCAATGCTTTTAGATTTTCAATGGTTCTCAACCTGATATCAGTTCGTCATGAGAATTGCCTTGTATTCACCATAACACAACCATACAATGTTATTTGCTACATGATAGTGTGGACACTACATGTCACGTTTGTCTATATCAACATTAACAAGCAACTATCAAAAGTGGAATTTTTAGCCTTAAGTTGAAGGGGTTCAACTATACAAAAGCTAAGTCTAGAAGTTGTAAGATTATTCTCATCCGGCTACTGACAATAAATCCTGTGCAAACTGCCGTGAAATCAGTATATCATATAACTTTGTGCTGCATCAATCTTTTGAAAAATTCTTTATGCGAGTTTGACTTATATTCTATACAGAATTTTCCCTGAATAGTGTTACCTTTAATTGGCTGATATAGATTTGTATACTGGATGATTTCTCCCCTTAAAAAGTCTATATAACAAAGGAATTCACTGACATCCTTCGGTTTCAAAACACACTTACCAGTAGTTACCGTACATCAGGTATTGTTAATTTTATCTATAACAGTCTGTGATAGAATCTATTGTGACTGCAAGAAAAGATCAAGAATCTCAAAGAAGAATGATATCCCAGTATGTTACAGATAATTGACACAATAGTTGAGCAACCAGTTTAAGATAAATTTTGAGAGGAACTAATACAATGGAATACCGTTAATAGCTTCAATATTTTGAGTTGCAGTGTCACAAAGATAGGATCTCTTAGCTACCACTACTGTTCTGTTTTATTTGCTGTTTCTGTATGAAGCATCTTCATTGTAACAGAAGAACATTACATAGTTCCTACATTACCAGTCGTGTGAATGTTTAGGCTACCAGCTATTTAGTTGATATGACTCTGAAAAAAATAACTCTACCAACTATTATTCAATAAAGTGAATAGGTAAATTTAGTTTTGCATCAAAAGTAGTTTAGCTAGTGAAAGCTTTCTAAGTTTCTCTCTTGACCTAAGAAACGGAAATGTTTTCATATGATTTTGATTTCATAGTTTATTAAATTTTGTGCATATATTCACTTTTGAATAACGAAAATGAAGCAGTTATTCCTTATTATGAGGAAACGGAGAGCTGGTATTCACTACTATAATAAACAAACCATTAGACAGGTACATAAATATAAAATCATATTTAAGAACCCTATTAAGGGTCGCGTGTACTGCACAGCAGTCCGCTCTGTTCTACTGTATGGCTGTGAAACATGGCCATTGAAAGTGGAAGACATGAGAAGGTTACAGGTGTTTGACCACCGTTGCCTTCGTAATATAGGACGTATCCCGTGGTGTCACCATGTGAGTAATACAGAAGTTAGGTGTAGAGTTTTAGGGAGAAGAGGTAAGTCAGTCGACGAGGTTGTGAACCTTCATCGACTGAGATGGTTGGGACACGTACTACGTATGCCTAGTCACCGATTGCCTCGTCACACAATGTTGGCTGAGGTGGGTTCAGGCTGGAAAAAGGCCCGAGGTGGCCAGACTAAAACATGGCACCAATGTATGAAGTCTCTGACTGTTGGTTTAAGCCATGTAGGACGATGCAGACTAGGTGGTTGGGGTCCACGGGACAGGAGGAACCAGTGGTTGGAGACCCTAGGTGATATGGCTCAGAACCGAAGTCAGTGGCGCAGATGTATACACACATTATCCTCATCTTAACGACGCTATACCGAATCTCACTATTTTGTCACTCCTCTTTCCTTTCTTCTCGTACTTTATATTTCTTTTGACTGCATTCACTTATCTTCATCCTTCACCTCACTACCTTTTTACTTGATGTGCTGATATGAGGTGTGGCAACTCGGACCGTTACGCAGTAATGCCTGGTCCTATGTTGATAATGATGATAATGATGATAAATAAATAGAACAGTTAAATAAATACAGCAATTATGCAAAAGGATTACACTGCTGTCCTTCTTAACATGTTGAAGACGTTAAATAACTGCTGCTACAGGTCGTCTATACATCTCGTTCAGTTTAACAATAAGATATTTTGAGGGAGTTGTGGAGATTTAGAATTATTTCAAGTTGTTATTCATCGTAGACTGACATCAGTTGGAGGAACAAAGGAAACCTGGGAGCACTGGACAGCTGTTTCGTCCGACTAGTATGGGACTCCTCAGAACTGAACTGGTGCTCATTGGTGACTAGCTTCGAGAAGTATTCCCGAAGTTCCAGTGACAAGTCGTGACCGGTGGAGTCAAAGCCTGATGGCCATGAGGACAAATACTCAGCGATGACATTGGGTGGCGGTTGCGCTATATATCGTGAGCTAACAGAAGTTGGATTCTGACCCAGTGGCTCAGTGGTAACGCGCTGACCGCGGAACCTGGAGGTCGCGGGTTCCATCCCTGCTGGTGGGGTCGTGGGTGCGCACTGCTGAGGAGTCCCATACTAGGACGAAACAGCTGTCTAGTGCTCCCAGGTTTCCTTTGTTCCTCCAACTGATGTCAGTCTACGATGAATAACAACTTGAAATAAGATATTTATCTCCCAATGGTACTATCATAAGTTTAATTTTGTATTTAACTTGGAGTTATTTGTGTTGGATTTTTATGGATAAAAATACAACGTCATTGGATAAATAGGTATGATTCTATTTGCTAGTAGACCATATGAAATAGTTATTGAAACATTTATCATAAATCATACTTCTCAATGTGGTTAAAAATCTGTACGTCATTTTGTTTAACATAATTTATGCAGTAACTGATTTTCCAAGTGAGTTACTGGACATTTTTGATCTGAATTTAAGTGGAGAGAATAGTTTTCACGATGCTTCAGATAATTCTTGACTGCAGTCAACATTAATCACAATTCTGAGTGCACAGACTACCGTACTTGGTTTCCAAGCACCGCATAACTAACTTTTTATAACAATATATACTTGTTTAAAAGTTCAAAACGTTTTGTTTCGTCTTTCGATAGTAGTTAGAGGAATCGAAGTCATTAAAAGATAATGTAAAATATTTCTTTACAGAATAACTCTCATGGAATAGAAATTCAGTAGACATTATCCGCATTGTCTACATTTACTTCAACCATATCTGTTTAACTGATACATTTCTTCTTTTTATTTCAGGGTGATCTGAAACAATTTCTACGCTGTATGCGTGAAGAGAACTCAGCACCATTCAAAATGCCACCACTTACGTGTGCTCAAAAGATGAGTATATGCAAACAGCTTGCACTCGGTATGGACTATCTTGCACATATGCATTGTGTTCACCGTGATTTAGCGGCAAGAAATGTACTATTGACACAAGATTTAGAAGTAAAAATCTCAAGTCTTGGCTTAGCTAGAGATGTTTACGCAAATGAATATTATCGTCTACCGAATACAGAACAATTTATTCCTTTACGGTGGTTTGCTCCAGAACTCATTCATGAGATTACAACTAATACCGCAATCAGTACGACTAATCGACATTTAGCATTATGCAATGGACGTGAAAATGATTCTATAAATCAACTAGCTAATCCATCAATACCTTATTCAACCCAATCAGATGTTTGGGCATTCGGTGTACTGGTCTGTGAAGTCTTCTCACTAGCTGCCCTTCCACTAGCTAGGCTATCAGATCAAGAAATTATTGTAGCTGGTCAGCGAACAGCTATGCAAGTAAGTGGTGGAGTCAGTGGTTTTACAAAATCAAAAATTAATCCTACTGACTCATCACCACTTAAACCAGATTTAGTTGCTGATATACCAAGTGAATTGGCTAGTCTACTTAACCGTTGTTGGTCTCCTGCTCCACAACATCGACCTACATTCAGTGAAATCGCTATAGTTATACGTGATCTAGCCTCATCATAATATGGCTAATCTTTTCTTCTGTTTTTTTTTTTTCAATTTGAAATGATATACAATGTACCTTTCTTCATTTTTTCATCAGCATGTTTGCTTTACTTTACCTACTTTACTTGTTTACTTTGTTTTTCTTTGTTAGGAAATGAGATTATTTATTTATTGTCAACACGAATTTTATCTTTGCAATCATACAGGGGTATTTATGATAAAGACAATGTTTATATGGTGTAGAGAAACTCAAGATATATACACAATACTTAGGACATGTAACTTTTTTTTAACTGACAGTTGAGTCGCGGGCTTGATAGTGTCTTACATAATTATGCGTATCCATACTGATCGAGTAGTAAGTTTATTAGTATTATTGTTCAAACTGTACACCTTTATGAAATAATATAGATCGGTGTTTTTTTTCTCTTTCAATTTATCAATATTTATGATTTGTGTAACCAATTGAAGGCAAAAAAGAGATAGATACCTTTTGTTTCTTGAATAATCTACATCCATCTTATCTATCTGTTTACAGATCATATATGTTTTTTTCTACTAAGACAACTTATCAGCAATCATTTCTAAGGTCAATAAAGTCAGTCACAATGCTTAGCCTATTTCTTTTACTCCTTGTCTTTATTGTATATATAAATGTTAATTGAACCTCTCTATTTATCGTCGATAAATTATATATATATATATATATATATATATATATATATATATATATATATATATATATATATATATATATATATATATATATATATATATTCATACAATGCATATAATAATATGTATGTATATGTATAAATTCTAATATATACACTTCACTCTCTTGTTATATATACATTGACAATAATATTGAAGGCAGTAATAATATAATTATTGATTACATCTGTCAACCAACTCCCCAGCTTCCTAAGTTATCATGTTCTTATAATGAATAAAGGTAATACTGATTCACTGATAAGTCAGTCATTTTCACCTACCCGGTTAACTTGTTCCATACTTATCTACTTTACGTTTTCTTTATACTGTTGTACTTATTAGCTATTTTAATGAACACCGATACTGAGATATTTGTGCCTAAATATCACAGACTGTATTTTAAAGCAATTCTGTTAACAATAATGTGCTTTTTACATCTTCCCCCCTTTCTTTTCTCCCTGTTTATACTGTAACACTGTGAGAAATATGCATTTTGATAAGTTTTTAGATAGATACATTTAAAAATTAATAAATAGCTTCTGTTGTTTTCTGATGTGGTTCTGATTACTTCTCTGTCACTTTCTTCCTCTATTATCCTCTTAGACTTTCCTTTCTGTCGGTACAACCATTGTCTTTTTATCAGACTACATGTTGTGAGAAGCAGGGAAATTTAACACGTCTTGTCTTTGTTTAGCTTCATTTTTTTTACAATTTAATCTCTGTTGGTCTCCAAAGAAAGTAAACAGAAGGATCTCCTTCCTTCGATTTTTTTTTTCTTTCAGTAAATGAGTAGTAGTACTGAATTCATATACTTACAAAGTAAAAAATAATTAGGAACGCCTTTCTTTTCTCTCTTTCATACTTAGTTATCCACTCTCTTCTTCTATTCCATATTGTTCTCTATATAAAACTAAGAATTTTTATGTCTTGTTCTTATGAATAAATGATTTCTTATTTCATTGGAAAAAATTAATCAGCCAATTTTTTTCATTATATCTTCTGAAAAAGATTTTAGCAACTAAGCATTTGAAAATATCTTTATTTTATATGTTTACTACTAGTATTTCAATTTTTGAGTGTATAATGAAATGTATAACCGGTTACATCAGTTATATACAGATGGAACTTATGTTATTCATGATCTCATTCAGTTTTATATCTTTCTTTTTCTGTTTTCTCCCCCAATTCATTCTCATTATTATTTACATCTGTTTGTTTGTCTTGAAAAGGAAATATAAACAGAATGCAAAGTAAAAGTACATGTGTATAATAATAAATGAATAAGATATAAAATGATCTTCCCCTTTCTCTTCCTTCTTGGTTTACTTTTTTCATTTATCTAAATATAAAACGGTAGTAAGTGGACCAATCGCCTGATTATAGAGTGATGGTGAAATGAGAAAGTATGTGTAAGTTATTATTAGGTCACGGGTTCGATCCCTGACGAGGTCGTGGATTTGCACTGCTAAGGAGTCCTATACTAATCGGACGAAACAGCTGTCAAGTGTTCCCAGGTTTCCTTTGTTCCTCCAACTGATGTCAGTCTACAATGAATAACAACTTGAATTAGTACTATTTATTGATATACTTGTAATTCTCCGTTGTTTTATTGGATCCAGTTGTTCGTCCTAGATTGCTCTACTAGTCACAACCAACCAAATTACCATAATTAACACTCAGGCAATATCGAGGTATCCGCATAGGAGCCCATATGCCAATAGATGTCAAACAATCCAATCCAATAAAACAACAGAGAATTATAAGTATATCAGTAAATAGTAATAAATACTACCCGTTGTACAAGGAGTGGTTATCGTTCCTCCGTGGCATAGTGGATAACTCTTTGGCGTTTAAAACAATAGGTATGAGGGTCGAGTCTCAGTTGGAACATCATTCATTGAAGGGCAGGTTCATCCAGCTGACCAGTCCCAAATAGAACGAGATGCTCGTCCTGGATTCGTGTGCTAACAACGACCAACCAAATTACTATGTGTAAGTTGCCTAAATTTCAATGGTTAGCTTTCATACTTTATACAATAATAATGGTAACCGTGATCTTGATTCGTTTTCGTTAGTTATTCACTTTTATTGAGCGATTATAATTTTCCATGAAAGCCGATGTATGCTATCACACTTCCAAAGCTTGAAAGATAAACTGTTGATTCATTTGATATACCAGTGGTTAAGCAGAATTAGGCTGCAGAATAAATGCGATGGTTATTTAGTTCTCTACTAACTTTGCTATTTGATTTTGAAAGTTTCTTCGCTAAGCTAACAATGTTTTCTTCAGCACTAAATCTTTCAGTTCTGTTCCCAGCGTCTCTATATAATAATCAGCGTTCAGTATTCAAACTTCAAATTCCATGAATAAGTGTTTTAGGAAATATATTTCACATATCAAGTTTACCTGATACACTTGGAGGTCTAGAGTTTGAATCTTACAGTAAATCTGGGTTCGGCTTGAAATTCAATCCTTTTCCCAGGGTTAATGAACATTTTAACAGGAGAAAGAAAATCCCAACTGCCTATTTTTTTCAAACAAAATGGAATGATAGGATCTCATAGCTCAGTTGGTAGAGAACCGAACTACTAACTAAGAAGCGGCTGGTTCAAAAACGAATTACTAATTGTCACTAGAACTGCTTTCTGTCAGAAAGTCTGTATTCCAGTATCACACATTACTGCGTAACACTTAACGAAAGCACAATTCATGTAATTCTCTTTCTCCAGACAACAAACCCATTTCCTGTCAACTTTCGTTCGTGAATAAGTTGTGCAGGATAAAGTATTGTCTGTTGAAGTCATATCAACCAATCAATATCAACATAGGACCAAGCATTACTGCATAACGGTCCGAGTTGCCACACCTCATATCACTCAGTACATCATGCAAAAAGGCAGTGAAGTGGAAGATGAAGATAAGAGAATGCAGTCGAAAGAAATACAAAGTACGAAAAGAGAGGAAGGAAGAATGAGGAATGGTGAGATTCGGTATAGCGTCGTTAAGATGAGGATAATGTGTGTATACATCTGCGTCACTAACATTGGTTGTGAGCCACACCGTCACCTATAGTCTGCAACCACTAGTTTCTCTTGTCCCGCGGACACCAACCAACTAGTCTGAATTGCCCCACATGGTCCAAAAACGAACAGTCAGAGACTTCAAACATTGGTGCCATGTTTTAGTCTGGCCACCTCGAGCCTTTTTCCAGCCTGGACCCACCTAAGCCAGCATTGTGTGACGAGGCAATCGGTGACTAGGCATACGTGATACGTGTCCCAACCATCTCAGTTGATGAAGGTACACAACCGTACCAACTGATTTGCCGCTTCTCTCTAAAACTACACCTGACTTCTGCATTACTCACGTGGTGTGGTGACACCACGGAATACGGCGGCCTATACTACGAAGGCAACGGTGGTCAAACACTTGAAGTCTTCTCATGTTTTCCACTTTCAATGGCCATGTTTCGCAGCGTTGCAGTAGAACAGAGCGGACTGCTGTGCAGTACACGCAACCTTTAATACACAATAGGATATCAAGGCGGCGCCATTAGTGGCGTAAATTGGCGAAAGCCGATCGAGCCTTTTGTATCCGTGCAGAGATCTCATCGGCAACTAACTCACCAGGGTTGATTTTACTTCCCAGGTTAGTGAAGTGGTCAACACACTCAACCACTTCACGGTTCCGCTGAAGACCAGTCCTGGAGAAAAATCTGCATTTGGGTGGTGAAAATCGCATCCCAAACATTCTCAAATTCCCATTCAAAGTGTTCAGAAGACTCTGCATCTTGTCAGCGTCTTCACCTAACAGGACTATGTCATCTGCATATTCTAGATCTAACGAAAATTCACCTGTGATTGGGTCAACGTCTGTGGAATTAGGTGACGAGAGGGAAACCTCCATAAGTATATCTATGATAAAATTAGATAAGAATGGAGATAGTGGGCATCCGTCATGGTTACTGTCGATTTTTAAGATATCCAAAGAAAATGCGTTCGACTACCAAATGAATATTTCCACCGAAAACCTAACCAGATTATGTGTTAAGACAAAAATCATATACTGTAAGTTCGCCATCCATCCATCCAGATCAACCTAGGATCAGGCATTACTGTGTAACGATCCAAGTTGCCACACCTCATATCACTTAGTACATCATGCAAAAAGGCAGTGAAGTGGAAGATGAAGATAAGAGAATGCAGTCGAAAGAAATACAAAGTACGAAAAGAGAGGAAGGAAGAATAAGGAAATGGTGAGATTTGGTGTTGAGAAACGCATCCCGAAAATTCCCAAATCGCCA